TTAGCCCAAGAGACAGAAAGGGCCACATAAACCAGAGACTGCATCAGCCTGAGGCCAGAAGAACTAGATGGTGCCTGGCTACCACCAATGACCACCCTGACAGGGAACCCAACAGAGAGTCCCTGATGGAGCAGGAGAAAAGCGGGGTGCAGAACTCAAACTCTAGTAAAAAGACCAGACTTAATGGTCTGACTGAGACTGGAGGAACCCCAGAAAGCATGGCCCCCGGACTGTCAACCCAGCACTAAAACCATTCCCGAGGCTAACTCATCAGATAAAGATTAGACTGGACTGTGGGACATAAAATGATACTTGTGAAGAGTGTGCTTCTTAGCTCAAGTAGATACATGAAACTAAATGGGCAGCTCCTGTCCAGAGGTGAGATGGAAAGGCAGAGAGGGTCAGGAGCTGGATGAATGGACACAGGAAATCAGGGGTAGAAAGGAGGAGTGTGCTGTCACGGTATAGGGAGAGCAATTAGGGTCACATAACAATGTATGTATAAGTTTTTATATAAAAGACTAACTTGAATTGTAAAATTTCACTTAAGGTACAACAATAAAATAAAAAGAAAAATGCTCCCTTCTACTGGAAAAGGGAGTTGCTCATTAAATAAGAAATATTTATAGATTTTTATGAAAACTCTCTTTAAAAACTAAACTATTAGGTTTATTTGCAAATATCCTCCTCATAAATCAGATCATGTACTGACCTGTTTGAATCTTTTAGAATAGAATCTAAACTCCTCATCATGCACTGTAAGGTCTGCATGGCATGGCTCCTGTCTGTCCTTGTTTTATATCTTTGAGCTCCAGCAGCCTCCCCTTTGCTCCAGAAAGACACCAACTCTTTACAAGTCACTTGGTTTCTGTTGAAGGGACTCAGAGTGAGCTGTTTCCTCCACCCAAACTACTTTCCTCGCTCGCTTCTCATTCTTCAGGCCTCAGTTCCAATGGTCCCTTCCCATGGATGCCTTCCTCAAGCACCTTCGCCTCTGCCCTCAGTCATTCTGTATCATAACATCCAGTTTCTTTCTCTATAGAGTCCATCTTGTCACAGTCCCGGTCATTGTTTTTGTTTACTTGTATATTGTCTTCTCTGCCCACTAGAATAGTAGTTCCATGAGGGAAGGGATCTTGCCTGTCTTGTTAATGACTGTATTTTCAGAGCCAGGCACAGTGCCTGGCACATACTGATAGCAGGCACGTGATCATTGTTTGAATGAACGGACAAATAAACTTCAGCCAGGGATGGATTAAAAGTTTAAGAGGGTCTAAGCACCTCTCTCATAATTAATTCCAACTAAAATTTTGGTGCTCCTCCCCCGTACTTTAATGTAAACAAGACTAAACCATACACTTAGATGTACTAAAAAAAAAGTTTCTTTCTAGATTATCTGAGGGTAAGATCTTGGAGCCCTTGTTTTGCTGGTACCCTGAGTATGTGAGCACTTCGTCTGCCTTTGGGCTATCTAGCACTCACTCATCCCTCTAATCTTTTGGAAGGTGGTTCAGAATAAGCCTGTCCCTCAATGGAGCCCTGGTAGTGCGGTGGTGTAAGAGCTCGACTGCTAACCAAAAGGTCAGCAGTTGGAAACCATATGGGGCAGTTCTCTGTCCCATAAGGTCCCTATGAGATGGCAACAGGTTTCGGTCAGTGGTGCAAAGGGTTACTGCAATTGATTGCTAATCAAAAGGCTGGAGGTTGGAATCCACCCTGAGATGCGTCAGAAAGAAGGGCCTAGCGATTTACTTCGGAAAAATCAGCCACTGAAAACCCGGTGTAGCACGTTTCTATTCCCATACGCATGGGCTTGCCATGAGTCAGAAGAGACTCAACAGCTACTGGTAATGTGCAGAGTACAGGTAATCCCAAGGGGAGCCCTGACAGCGCAGCTCGAACCCACCAGCTGCTATGCGGGAGAAAGACACGGCAGTCTGCTTCCGGAGATTTACATCCTTGGAAACCCTATGGGGCAGTTCTACCCTGTCCTATGAGCTGGAATCCACTGGAAGGCAGTGGGTTTGGTAATCTCAAAGAAGCTGCAGTAACATCTCCTGGCCACCAGAGGACAGGGATCAGCGGGAGAGATTGCTTCCCCTTGGAAGAAATCTAGAAGAGGTGAAAGGCAGAGGCTAAAAGGGGCCTTTGCATTTGTGGCCTTCTGGCTTCTCTTACTGCCTAAGTGCTCAGCTGGCTCCCATCTCCAACTGGCCTCCTATTCTCCTCTAAAAGATGGGCGAAAGTTCCCAGGAGGCTGAAGTTCCCCATAATAAAAACCCTTTGACTTCGAGTGGATTCCAACTATAGGACAGAGCAGAACTGCCCCATAGGGTTTCCAAGGTTGTAATCTTTACAGAAGCAGACTGCCACATTTTTTTTCCCTCTGGAGCAGCTGGTGGGTTCTAAGAACTGCCGACCTTTCCATTAGCAGTGGAGGGCTTAACCACTGCACCACCAGGCTCCTTCCACCCCATAATACTAACCTTAAATAATTATCAATAATGCACTTGCATCCTTTGCAGGATTTAAGAACACGAAAGCAGTAACAGAGACGTCTTATCATTCTAACCTCCCCAAAAACTGCTTCTTAACTTTTACCATTAAAAATTAAAAAGTCCCTTTGGCAGTGCTCACATGGGTATTCCACAACAAAGATGCATTTAGGAGCAGTGTCCCTGCTCCAGTACATTGCTAACAGTATTTTAAGAGCTAGAGTATTCCTTCACATAAACTCTGGCTCACGGAGCAGTCCACTCGCAGTGTGCTTTTCCGTCATTAATCACACCTTTGTTATGTGATATCCACGTGAGTACTTCTCAGTAGAAGCAGCTTCATGCTCAAATGCTCAAAGAACCCTGGTATAAAGCTCCTATTGTCCTATTCAGTGATTCCAAGTCCTGGTTTGTCACCACCTCTGGTCTCTAGTTTTCCAAGGTGTGTAATGTCTCAAAACAAAGCTATTTTAATGAATTCAAGTTAAAAGATGCATTAGGTGGTGGAGTTAAATCAAAGGAGACTTTCACCTCTTAAGAGGCAGCGAATCCTGGTTTCATTTAAAGGTGATTATATGCTGCTGGCTGTAGGAAACCGTTTTAAAGAGAAATTTAGGTTGCTGACAGCATCATATTTTTTGGCAAAGTAAAATAATTTGGGAACATTCATGTGGGGGCTTTCAGCGACAAACACTGATAGCTGAATGCCTAAAGACACTGGAGTGATTTCTTAAAGTACCTGTAACTTCTCTTTCATGAAAGACGGGCAGAGCACTGCATTTTGGATTTATCAGGCTATTTATTAAAGAGCGATTGTAATTCTCTCAAATCATTGTTTGCGTTTCTTTACGCTGGTGAGGCGGTTGGAAACAACCCAAGGAAGAGGAAAGGGTTTTGGGTATCCGTGGGGGAAAAACCCTCAAATACCTGTTGGGCGCAGCGCTGGAGGCGCACGCGGCCCGGGAGGAGACTGGCGACCCGGCGTTCGGGGCCGGGAGGCCGGAGTGGGCGGCGGGCTCACGGGCGGGGAAGGAGGAGGAGGCCGCGGGGCCGCCTCCTCCGGCAGCCCCGGCTCCTCCCAGCGGCGCCTGCGGAACCTGCCTCCGAGTCGCCGAACTCTGGGAGGGAACGTGACCCGACCCCTCCCCGAGCGGCCGAAATGAGGAGCGGAGCCGCGTTCTGGGCTCGGACGGCCGCGGGATGGGCGGGCAGGCGCGCGGCTCCGCCCGGCACCCACCGCCCTGCCCTCGCCTGTCTCCTCCTTTCCCCGGGGCTCCGCTGAGTTCATTCACTGGGATTGGTTTCAAGTGACGCCATCTCTTTATTTTTAAACCAATGACCTCATCCGCGCTTGAAGTTTCCTGACCAGCGACTCTTTCTCTTTTCCCCCAACCCCCCACCACACCCCCCGGCCTTTCCCCCTCTTTCTGTGTATCCCTGTTTGGGGGGCTTTAATCAGTTTTTAAACGATTATTATCACCTCTCCCTCCCCCCTCCACTTTTCCCACCCGACCCTCCACCTTTACCTCCCCAAGTTCTTCACCCCTTTCGACTTTCTTTTCCAAGGCTGACTAGGGGGTGGGGGGGAGGGTGGAAGAGAAAGAGTGAAGAAAAGTTGCAAACGTTTCCTCTCTTCCTAAGCCTCCCGCCCCCACCACCCCTCCGACAAGGAACAGATAATATAGTGAAAAGAAGAGGAGGAGAGAGCGACGGGACGGGACGCGAGCGGGAGCGCAGCCACCCTCCCGGCTCCGCCGCGGCGCCTCGCAAGTCCGGGAGGCGAGGGGGGCCCGAGGGGAGACGTCGTGACAACTTTCGTTTCCCCCAGAGGGAGTCTGGAGGTCGGTGGTCCCAAAAGTAAGTGGCCTTCTGCCGGCTCGCAGGGTTTGCGGGGGAGGGCGCGGGAGTCGGAGCGCCCGCCCGCAGCGGCAGCGTGGACGCTCCGCGGCGCGCCGGGCTCTGGGTACCTGGTGCAGTGCTCTTGCCCCGCGGGCTCTGCCTTCCCAGGAGTCCCGGCCACCTTTTCGGAAGGCGGGGTGGGGGTGGCCGCGGCCCGGAGCCGCGCTAGCGTTTCAAGTGTGTGTGTGGTGGGGGGAGGATTAGGCCTGGCTGGGGGCCGGCCCGAG